AACTTTCCATTTCCTACTTTTCAGTTATTCCTTTTCATTCAAACAACTCAAGTGTGCTGAATGTTATTAGGCCATATTTACGCAGGCACAAATTAAAAACAGTCTGTCTACAAAATCTGTAATTATTATTTTGAAATAAAAAACTCACAACCTTCTTTCTTTAAAATGACATCTTTATTGCCTTTAAGGTGGGAGACTAGAACAAGACTGAGAATGTCTTGTTTTACAAGTGGGCCACATGTAGCACCATTTACATTTGCAAACAGAAAGCTTTTTTCCCCATATTATCACCATATATGTTTATAGACTAAATAAGAGTTACAAAATGTGTATTCCTCAGCTGAGGAGAAACTGCATGAAAAAAGTCTCAAAGTCATTGAGAAAATCCAGTGATAAAGCCTTATCATCACATTGGGAAATGCTCGTTTTTGGATATTCTAAGGTTCTTGGCAAAACAATGCTTTACATCATCTTACAATCATGCAAGACCTTCATTAATTTGAATTTGTCATCAAGACTCACTTCAAGCCCTGTTGCCATAATACACATTCAATGAGAGACTACTTTTATTTTCCACATGCTTATTACTAGTTTAAAAATACTGCTTGTTCGTCAGTCTGGATTAAAATAACTGTCCAGTTAGACCATTTGCCAAGAGGAAATATTTCAGCATGTTCAGTGGGAATTTTTGTGAGGAGAACATATACAAGTATCCATCAAAAAACAAAAATACTGCTTCCACTAACCAGGCAAACAATGGTAATTTTCTCAACTTCATAACAGAAAGATTTAAGATCCCGCCATTTCTGCAAAACAAATTGGCTTATCACTGCTGACCATGACATGTTTTAATAACAACAACATTATAACTGGATCACGGCCACTTTAGTAGTCATCGTGTCTCTCTGGTGAAGAGAAGAGATGGACAGATGAATGGACGAGTGGATGGAAGGGTGCTGGGATGGATGCTGGTGCTGGCTCACTCTGTAAGCGTCTTGCTTTCACAGGCAGTACTGCTGTAGAAAAGATGGTTCAGACTAGGCACAGTTTGATAAAAGAGGAATGCTCTACTTATCAATCAGTTTGCAAAAGTGACAAAAAAA